TCCGGGAAAGTTCTCCCGCTAAACCCTGAGCTCGGTGGGATTTCCGCTGCCTTGTGCTTATGGCTTTTCCAGAGTCTGGAAAAAGCAGCCAGTGCGCGTTCGTAGGTGTAAAAAGTATTGGTGCTAGAACGGGTTTTCCCCTAGATGTTTGGGATCTGTTGATTTATTTATTTAAAATCTGCGTGGAGGGTTTTTTTAATGTGTCTGTACCGTAGTTTGATTTCTCCTGCCCTTTCTTCACCTTAGAGGAATCCTTCCCGTGGTATTTTCTCCCTTTCTTGCTCAGCCTGGCTTTAACTGCTTCCTTTGTACTGTTTGCAAATGGGATTGACGCTTTGCAACATCTTGAAAAACAGAGTTACATTTTTTAAGTGTGAAAAAATCAAAACAAACAATTACTTTCACTATTCCCTACAACAGAAAGCAGAAAGGTTGATGGAAGAATTGTTTGGGTTTTGAAGTCCTTCTGGGGCGTTTTCCTGGGCAGCCTGGTCTCATGGCTTTCCCGGTGCATCTTCTGTTTCTGACTAGTTGGCATAAGGTGAACTTGCAAGCACTGTGCCCCTCCTGTCAAGGTGCTGTGGCCGCTGTAGGCGAGGGGGAACAGCCGTCCTTTTGGTCCCTGCGTGTCTGTAAAGGTAGCAGAGAGGTTTTAAAGAAGAAGGTGTCCTGCAGAGGTGCCCTGTTATTCTCATGCTCTGATCACCTGAGTGGGAGACTCCCTGAAATATTGGCTGGTTTATCAGAACAGCTGTGCTTCGTTGCTGCATATATTCCTATTTGAAGAACAGAACTTAAGAATATCCCATAAACTTTTTGTCCAGTTCTGGGTGGAGGTTAATTAAGACCTATCTGTTTTTCCTGTGTTCATTTTAAGACATAGTTGCAGAAAAGTAGGCTAAGTGCTCAGCCTGGCTTATCTGGTCGCTAACATGGGCAGCTGTATGCTGTTTTCACTGAGGGGGTCATCAAGTTGTTCTCAAAAGAACTTGCAGTTATGGAGGTGGTAGTGCCCTTGTTTTATGGTTAGATGTGAAAAGGTCTTCCTAAATCTCCTTGCTGCAATGTAAACCCACTTGTTACTCAGTATTAAATGGCTTTAAACTGAAAGAGGGCAGATTTAGATTAGATATAAGGAAGAAATTTTTCACTCAGAGGGTGGTGAGGCACTGGCACAGGTTGCCCAGAGAAGCTGTAGATGCCCCATCCCTGGAAGTGTTCAAGGCCAGGTTGGACGGGGCATTGAGCAGCCTGCTCTAGTGGAGGGTGTCCCTGCTCACTGCAGGGGGTTTGGACTAGATGACCTTTAAAGGTCCCGTCCAACCCAAACCATTTTGTGATTTTTATAAAAAGGGAAAGCTCCTAGAGTTATATCTCCTTTTTAACAACAGATTTCCAAAAGGTATGTTTTTGCCTTTGCATCATCGCCTGACAATATGATGTTTGATCAAATATCCAAAGGGGTTCATTATTGGTGCTCCCTTAGTCCTTACCAGTATGAAACACTCCCGTCTGTAGGCACTCCCAGACTCCTGTTGGTTCCTGTCGGTTGGGTTACATCCGATCACGCACACACACACCTGAGGGTGTTTCTCACGCAGCTGGGACAACGTAACACCATGATGGAAAGGGAAAGGTCTTGTTGCCCATCCCTCTGGGGAAAAAAAAGCACGCACATCTTTGTAGAGTGGAATTTGGTATCTTACAGAGTATGTGCTTCTCTTCCCCTGCCCACTGCATGAAAATGTTTTTCTTCTCCCAATTCAAAGAATTTCTTGTTTTATTGTTTTCCAGAATTACTCTGCGCTCAAATTCCTGAGCGCCGGACCACAAACGCGTTCGCCACAGACCCTCTGCTGGAATCTCCCCAGAAGTTCTTCTTGCGTGTGAAGCGGAAATTGCAACAGCAGCGAAAAGGTGCTTGGTATTGCTCTTAAAAAGCTTCCAAAACTTCCTGGACTCCAGGGTTTCTGTCCTTGCTTACAATCTCTCACATACCTTGGGAGAGTATCATTCTGCACGCGGTGAAAAATGGAGGAAAACACCTTCAGATCTGCCTTTTCAAGCCTGGAGATGGCTTAGACTTGGCTTGTCTATGGTTTAAGGCTGTGGGCTTCTCACCTTGAAGCTGGACAGCATGAGTCTGAGTGCGCTGTCTTCTCTGACAGCAAAAACCATCTACCTCCAGGCTCCTGCTGTGGTTGAGTTCTCTCAATACGAGGTGTAACTCTGTGCCATCTGAATGTGCAACTTGGTGGGAAAATCCTAAACGTCTTATTTGATGTGTTTTGGTTTTTTTCCCTTAGCTTTTAGTACGGTTTGGTTCCTTGAGAAAGTCTCTTGTATTTGTTTTTTCCATATCGTTGCTTCTGGATGTGCTGCTGTCCTGTAATTCAGTTTTGAAAATGCAGATAAAGAAAACGATGCATGCCAAACTCTTAGTAGTGCTCAGCTTCCAAACTGAACTGAATTTATCTGACAGCTCAAATCCCAATGCTTGCCGCTCCCAGCATAGCAGCAGCATGGCTTGAAGTCTGGAAAGATGGAAATATTTGAAATTTTGTTTTTTGTGAAAACAGATTTCTTTTTTTTTCCCTCTGCAAGGAGGATTCATTAAAGAAAAGGTAGGAAGAATGGTAAAGATACACTATTAATAGATATGGTGTGCATTACTGTGGGTTTTGGGGAAAGTGGGATATCTACAAGTCTTTTAACAGCAGGGGTGCTCACCTGGTGGTGAGGGAAAGCTTGTCTGAACAGATTCAGAGTGGCTTGCTGTTAACATGCAACAGTCAAAATAGGCAGTGCTTGCACAACTGTTATGATGCTAATTGATACAACCTCTAACTTTATGAGCGTAATTTGATTAGTTCTCAAATATAACTAATTTCTTTGTTATTCCTTTTTTTTTTTTAATGAGCAGATTCAATACCTTCGAACCCAATCAAGCAGAACATTCCTCCTTCCACAGCTACAGAAAAAACGTTAGTCAAATCTGCTTTTGCTGAGCAGCCGAGGAATGATTCTACAGAGGATGTGGCCACTGATAAGGATGATCAGGATAATTTCCTTGTGGAATCAATGGATGCTGATGATGAAATGTCTCAAAACACAGTGGCTAGTCCTGTGGATGTGAACTTCGCCCCTTTTGAAAATGGGGTTCAGCTGGAAGAAAGGTGGGGAAATGGAGAAGCACAAGGTACTGAACTTCATCAAGACGGAAGCAAGTTGCAGCCAAGTAACAAGCCAGCTGCTCGTGGAGCAGAAAAGGTACCAGAGACTGGTTCTCAAAAGACCCCGCAGTGCTTATGCAGCATTATGCTCTCTTCTCCCAAAGTCCACATTCCCAGGAAGCAGAAGCCAAAAGAAGGCTCTAAGGTCCCTTTGGATAAACTTCATACAGATCAAGTTACTGGCAAAGCAGACAAAGAGGTGAGAGAACTTCATGTTTTGGGGCACTGATCTGTTTCTGTGGGCTGCTTGTAGCTCACGGTTGCTATTTATTTTTTTTTTTTTCTTGTGAAGAGTAATGAGCGCTCAGAAGAGAATAAAATATTATTTTATTAGATTTGGCTGGTAAACATTTTCCCATCAAAAGAGTTTCTTTTATCCTGTACTCTAAGATGACAATGTCCAGGGTTTTTTTGTTGTGTGTTTTTTTTGTATAAAAGAAAGCCTTTTGTGGTGGTTTTCACAAGCCACCGTAAGGGCTGAATAACTCCAAGTGTCGGTGTGACAGACATGAAAGAAATCCCTGGCCAGTTTCCTCAGTGATTAGCCTAGGAAGCTGGTGGAAGTATATCTTCCCAAGGGTTGAGTTTCCTTTGTTCCCTGGAGAAATCTGTGGAGTTGCAGTCCTCTTCAAGGTAAGCAAGTCAATTGTTTTGATCGTCCTCGCTGTTATCAAGCATGTTTGATATGTTTTCATGATGATGAGCTTTGATTTAGATAAGAAACAGGTATCTGAGGCACGGGCACAGGTTGCCCAGAGAAGCTGTAGATGCCCCATCCCTGGAAGTGTTCAAGGCCAGGTTGGATGAGGCTTTGGGCAACCTGGTGTAGTGGAGGGTGTCCCTGCCCAGGGCAGGGGGTTTGGAACTAGAAGGTCTTTGAGGTCCCTTCCAACCCAAATCGTTCTAGGATTCTATGATCTGTTAATATTAAAGATTTGTAGCTGAGTAGAAGATGCTGAAAGAGATGTTGGACACTGCAGATCTGAGCATCCGGTAGGTGCTGGCTGTACCTGTCAGGTACCTTTCCTCCGTCAGGGTTACATCGTCGGTAAGATCTTTAGGGAAGTTAAGGCTGGTCGTCAAAAGGTGAACAACATTAAAGAAAAGATCTGGAGTTTATTAACTGAAGTTGTGAGGAGAAGAAGCAATATTAAAATATCATCTTCTGAGAAGCCTTTTCTAAACCCAAGTCATATGTTTCACACACAGTTTTCCCAAGTGCAACTCAGGTGCAACCAGCTTACTGACTGTTTAATGCAGAGCAAAGGTACTGCAGGGGTGTGTCAGTCTGCAATGTCAGACATAGCCATTTTAATAGTGTCTAAATATTAGCAATAGCAGAGCTAATAAATACCATTTTACTTTTTTGTGGATAACTTTTTCCTGAACACTGACACAAAGCGTAAGAGGTATGACATAGTGTTGGTATTTTTTGTGCAGAGGTTTTTGGGTTTGCTAGAGGTGTTGGCCGATTACTTTGTCTCCTGAAAGTCAACACTAAATTGCTCAAAAGTTCCTGTAATTTAAATTCCTGTCTTCGCTTGTGCAGTAGACTCCAGCTCAATCGTGCTTCAACATTTATGTGTATAATGGTTATTTTCAGATTTTCCTGGCCAGGAGGATGGTGCTTAAATATCTTCTCAAGTTATACAGGAATTAATTTCTGTTTTGCTAACACCTTGATGATGTTTCATAGCTTAGTCTAATTTAAAAATGACTTTTTTTCTTTTTTTAACAGAAAAATATCTGCCTAACCGGTTGGAGAATTAAAGTGGTGGATGGTAACACTGCAATATGCGTTGAAGGAAAACGGAAGTAAGAAAAAGTTTTCTGATTTAAATGCAGAGTAAAACATGTTGGTGGGCTTTCAACTTCGAAGCTAGAAAGGCTATACCGTCTTCTCCTGGCTGAATAGCTGGAGGCTGTTGTGTTCTTGGAATATCCCAGTAACTGTTGGAAGCAGTTCCACACGCTTCTGCTGCTTTCCTCCCTGGCTGTGGGCAATACTGCCCTTTGCTGGCATCCTGGCCCTGGGGACAGTGCTCACAGCTCTGGCCACTTGTTTCAAACATGGTTGTCCATCTTCTGACTAAGCAGCAGAACTCCTTGTGCTTCGGAGGCTGCAAGTGACGGAGCTGCTGCACGGGGGGATGAGGGGCTGGAGGCTGAGGAAGGGTCGGGGAGAAACTGCACCTTCATGGAATTTACTCGTAGCCTTTGGTAACTACAATGTGATGTTGTAGTTTAAACTCCTTTGTCAAGGAAGAGGTGAATTCCTTCGTGTGTGCAAGAGGTAGAGTGCCTACGTACAGGAAACTACTGCTGAAATAATTGTTTCAAAGCCCAGGCCTAAGTCGATCAAAGAGAAATAAAGACAAATGTGTTTTCTGGTAGATTCCACAAACTGGTGCTGACTAGGGGTCTCGTGAGCTTCTACTTGTTTCATAACAATTCCGTTTTGTGGCTGCTTTAAGTCAAACCTGGTGCAGACTGCCATCAGCCGTGTGTGCCTGCCGTGTCGTTTGTGATGGCACTATTGCTCCTACAGCTACATGGCAAACCGTGGCAGCAGCTGGGCCACCTGAAAACTCAACTCTGCAGTTTTTTGGCTATGTTTGTGGTCAGATTGTAGTCAAGTAGCCATAAGATCAGGAAAACAAGTGTTGGAACAAAGGGGAGATTTAACTTGCAATAAAGTTGCTTGAAGACGTTGTGAAAATCCACCCTTGGAGAAGAGTATTCTACTCGTCCTGCAGTTGGTAACTACCTAACACAGTTACTTACCTACTGAAGGCTCAGAACCTCTCCCGGCAGCAGTAGCACTGTGAAAGGAAGTAATTCAGTGTGCTTACTGAGAGATGTCAGGCTCCACAGTCTGTGGTGGGATCTGTAGCAGGAATTGACATTTGTTCCATGGCTGTAGGGGAACAGCTGACCCTCTCACTCTGCACCCCTCACTACCAGCAGCATGTTCCCTCCTCATTCGCGTTGGTGTGTATCTGATACGTGTTGCTTGCGCGTGAGATACTCGCTTTGCTTTGTACACCCTCTGAATCGACTTCTGTTAACGTTTTGTGACAAGTTATACAACTGGAAGTTTTCACTGTCATCTTGGGTTTCAGCCCTTAATACTGGGCTGGAGTTTGATCTGTTGGTTACTGTTGTAAAAGTATATTTAAAAAAAAAAACAACCTGAAAAAAATGCCAACACTCTATGTAGATTTTTTTATTTTAATGCTTGGATCTGGTTTTTATTTCTCATGGAGAAGTCTTAGCAGCTCCAAGTTTTCCACATATTAGGGCTCCTTCTTCAGTTGTGCTTATCTTTAAAAAGGAAGGTCAAAAATAAATACAGTAATCCTGGGGTAAACGTCCGTTTGACCTGTGTAGTGGTGCTTCTGCAGCTTGCACAATGGTATTGCTGCAAGAATGAGCTGGATGCAGTCCTGCAGCCAGTTTTGCTCTGCAGCCTAATGTCAAGCTGATGCTCTGTGACTACATTTGCAGCAGCTGACACGTTCATTTTGTCTCCTGCCCAAGTGTCAGGCACGGCCCGAACGCTTGCTCCTCCCAGCTAAAGACAACCTAGCACATCCTACTGGTGCCTGTATTGCTTACAAGATATGTAACACTGCCAGTCTCATATGGAATATCAATAGACTAGTTTTAAATTCCATCTTTTTTGAAAACGGTGTTTTATTTCCCTTCTTCATGTTATCTGTCTTTTCTTAGAGATATGAAGGATCTCTCTTGGCATAGTAATGCGATCGTGGAACGCATAGCACACAACCAAGTCAGAACGTCCTCTGGCAGTGTCTACGTGCTGCAAGGAAATATAGATTCCGCTTCGATGAGGAAGGAAGGTAAGAAGGTGGTTCTCAATGCAACGTTACAAACTGAGAAGGGCTTCACATTCATCACTGAACGTAGCTCTGAAGCGAATGCTTTGTCTTCTCCTGTTAATTGGGCTCGGTGGGTATTCAGCACGTGCTGGAAAGTGACTCCAGATTTCTAAATACTACCTAATGTTAATCGTAGCTGGCGTTTTTCGGGTGCTGCAGTTACAGAGGGGGCTCTCACAGCATGAACTTGGCTATTGAGTGCGTTCTTTTAAAGAAACCGGGTTTTGCTAAGAGGTTAACGACAAGCTAATGTAGGTAGAGAGGAGAAGAAACGCCACATCCAGAGTCTGACCTGAGGGTTTCCCTAAACCAGTGGTCCCAGCAGCCAGGATCGGCTGGGACTGCCAGCAGTGGCACCAGTACAGAACTGCGTGTCTGTGGAAAATGTTGCTGTGGTGCTGTGCTCCTGCATCTGTCCAGGTTATGTCCTGGTGATGAGAAGGCCACCTGGCAGTATCCATGGGAGTGGTTTGCTCAGAAAGGCTGGAGCTCAAGTGATGGTTTTTCCTTCTCTGTTGCAGCCAAGGATTACATTATACCTCTGCATCAATATTTGCTTTCAGGGTTGTTTTCCCATTTCCGAGACAAAGCTAGAGTTGTTCTGTTGTATCTGTACTAGCTGAAGAGCCTCCCAGCTTACGATACTGTTGTGAAATGTTTCGACTGCACCTGTCTTGATGCAGTTGTTCTTTGCCTAAGCCTCAGGAGCAGTCTGCGTGCTCTTGGCTGAACAGCTTCTGCATCAGGGCATGATAAAGTTTTGCTCCTAGTGGAGTTTCCTTGATATGGTAAGTGCCAAAGAGCTCAGATCGCACGGGAGCCCGACAACCTCAGGCTCTCTGAGGCGCTCTGCAGAGAAGCCATGTGCCAGTCCAGCCAGATGGATGGACAAAGCTTAATGCTTCTGGTTCCCAGGAAGCTGGAATGCTGTCTCCAGGTATTGACGCCTGTAATTAATGACCCCTTGAAGCATGCTGTTCTTTTAAACTGGGCAAACCCATCCCTCTCCAGCATTTAGAGATGTGGTGAGCTGCTGAGGTGCTTACAAATCCACGATTGTACGGGACGTTACTTCCACCCTCTCTGATCCAAAACCTTGCTCAGCTATTGTTCATGCTACTTTTGTTTCAAACAGGATTTCCCTACCGTTTCGTCAAAAGATTTACATATGGCTTTTCCAAAAAGTGGAAGGAATATGTTGAGGAGTTCCTTGAGGCAAGACGAAGGTAATTTCTTTGGAGGTTCTGCTTCACTGCAATGTCTTTTTTAAGTGTTTACTGAGATTTTGCTTTTGAAGAATACTGTACTAGAGGAGTATAAAGGATCGTAACTGTGTGCATGAAGACGATGTTCCAGGCAAATACTGGTCACTGCTTTGGAAGAATCACCTGTTACCATTCCTCATGGTACTGGTTTGGTTTTGTTCCAGTTGTTTGCATAGCCTTGGAGTAAGCACAAGCCAAAGGCTTCCCTGGTGGAGTGGCTCACACAGTGCCACACGAGTACAGCAGCACTGCACCATCAGGCTTTTGCTGGGATGAGGACAAGGCTTCGGGTTTGTGGGAGGTAAGGAGTTAAAGGACATCTTTTTCAGCTGTTTCCTTCTTCTCTTGAACGCCAAATCTAGGAAAGAACGAAAACAAAATGCTGGTGAGAATAAAGGCGAAGAGCGTGCCTCAGTGGTGGGTAGAGATGTGCTGAAGGATGCAGAAGGCTCGGCAAAACATGTCAAGAAACCTGAAACCAGGAACACCACCTATGAAGTGTTACCGAAGAATGACGAAAACGCTTGTGAGTGTTTCATAATCCTTTGCTTTGGAAGCAAGCTGGGGTGTTTGTGAGAGCTTTTTCCCCAGCAAAATGATACCTACTATCTGTCTGGTCTGTATCTTGTTCGTTAGGCTGTATGGAAGAGGTAACGACCTAGTTGGGTGACGTTCTTTGTCTGTGTTCACTTAGACTGCGATGATCAGGAACGCTGACTTGTTCTGCTGTTTCTGGTTTGCTGATGTGCAACAGCTACAACAAGCTATGGGGCTGTCCTGAGGGTTAACCCCGGAATGGAACAGGAGTCTGTGTTGGTGCAGTGACTCCAGAGCTGGTTATTCTGACGATAAACTCAATTTTTTTCCAGTTGCTATTTTGCATAACGTACTCTCTTCTTAGTCCTTCTGGGATGTCTGTGGCATTTAACACCTCCATCAAGGCTCCGTCCTGGGGCTTCTCCCCTGCAGTGCCCTCACCCTTTTCAGCTGGGTTAATTTTAACTCATGTCAAGTCCTCAAGCAGGTTTATTTTATGGCATCTTAATGTTTTTGCCACAGTTGAGGCATAGAGAGTGATAAGAATTGGGGATGGATGGAATAGATTGTGGAAAAATTCATTACATTGACTTTGTTTCCAAAGGATATGGTTGTAAAGTCATAACCTATTGATCCATCTGTTTTTTCCTTTGCCTTGTAATGCAATCCGAGCTCTGTTACGGACGCCAATAGCTTTTGGGTTGAACTTTCTTGTATTACAGCGAGGATTTGTTCAGTGTGACAACTTTTGTGTATCATTCTGCTTCCCTATGTGACTTTTACAGTGTTTATAACCTTCTAACCAAAGAGAAAATCAAAAGTTCACAATAGTAACTTTTATAATTTGAGAAGATTATTGCTTCAGTCATGTTAAGTTATGATTATTTCTAACCTGAACACTTTTCAAAGAGCAACATAACATGGTGGTAAGTTTTATATTTTCCATGTGGTCAGTGCTGGTTTAGACAAGATATTGCTTCTATGCTTATGAAGTCTGCAAAGGTGAATTTTTAATACAATATTTGGGACAGAACTATATTTATTGTTTTTTTTCCTTGTAGATACAACACCAAAACACAATTCCTTGTTGAATGACTCAAGCAGAGTTTACACTCGTAGTGGCCGTCTTGTTAAACCACCATTGAGCTTCTGGTGTGGGCAGCGTGAGTTTGTGGATCAGAACCTAAATGTTACTATAGAAGAAGGTGGAATAGACTATCTCAGCATGGTGAGATTTTTTTTCATTTTGTCCCTTAAAAGTATCTTAAATATAACGAACAAACTCAGCTAGATATCTGACAGAAAGAGTCCAGCTCTTCTAAGTGCCTGAAGATGCAGAAAATCTTGAAAGCGTTATAAAAACGTTTTCAAACAAACAAAAAAGTAGTCTTAATCTCTGTATTGTCAGAGAATTGGTGTCTGGAAAATGAGGGTAATGGAGAATTAATTCTGAAAAATAAGGGTATTTTTGAAAGATCAATATATCAAACAAGCAGTTGCACACATGTAATGATTTGGGTCTCAGAGGTTCCTAAGGAAAATGTTTTCTGAAATATTGCAGTGCTGAGTCCCTGCCACGGTGTTTAACCACACCAGGGGTGTCAGTGCCGCGGGTGTGGTTTTGGGTCTAAGTTCTCCCCTTCCCGTGGAGGGTGTCACATTCATCAGGACCAGATATTTCCGTGTTTCTTGTATCCTGATCTGTCCAGGTCACCCCAGTTTGGACTGAGGTGTGCTGGTCTGATTTATCAGGACACTTTGAGCAACTCTGATAATACTCTGGTAACGAGGGAAGGGAAACAGCATTCTTGGTGGTCGTGAGCTTTTTTCCCCATCAGGTTTTCAACTTGCAAGGGAAGGGAAACAGCATTCTTGGTGGTGGTCACGAGCTTTTTTCCCCATCAGGTTTTCAACTTGCATTTTAGAATGTTTAAATTTAACAGGGGTCTGGCTCAGTGGCTTTGGCTGCAGGCGTTTGGATGAACATCTGTGTCCACCACCGAGCCTTCAGTGCTCAGATACTGGGCAGCAGAGGTGACTTTTAAATCTACCCATCCTGTAAATGTTTGACTTTTTCAGAGCTGGCGTCTGTAGGCTTGATATGTAATCTCTTGCAGAAGCTTAGATTAAATTGTTTTATTTTGAAGATGTTTGGTAGTGAAAAATCCCAAAAAAAGACCAGTTCCGTCTCTAAGAAGAGTAAAAGACAGGAAGTAACAAAGACAACAGAAGAAACACCAAAAAGCCAAAGTAAAGGTAAAAAAAAGGGATTTTTTTTTTTCCTTTTTTATAAAGTTACTGACTAGAATCAATGGAATCATGAGTTTGGTGCCGGAGCAGTACGGTGATGTCCTGTTAATGCAAAGAAATTATATGTATCTTTTAATGGTTGATTGCTTCTTCTATGAAGAATGATCGGAGTAGCATTAATGCCTAGTTTTGTAGTTTTCCAGCTCCGAATAGAAACTATGCTTGTAAATCATTTCTTTATTTACATAATGGGAACGTGCTGATTTCTTTCCAGAAATTGAAATTAAAGAGTTATGATTTTTTTTGAAGAAGGTTTTTTTTTGGGTTTTTTTTGGTTTTTTTTGAGAAGTTCACCAGCGCAGTGAACTCGTGGTCTGACTTTACTTTTCAAGCTGGATGAATTACAAAAATCGAATGCCTATATAAGCAAAAAAAGAATATCAGTGGAGTTTGAAAACCTTGATTTTCTATAAAATTTGGGAAACAATAGAGCCTTGAAAAGAAAATAAAGCAGAAGTTTCTCTTTTAAAGCAACTAATGTTTTCTGCAGAAAAGCTATTTGTAGCACGAGTGCAGCTTTTGGGATGTTAGTGTTTGCTCAGCCTCAGTCAGAGCATTTTAGCAATGTTTTCTGTTTAGTATTTTATTCTCTGCCTACTCGACACTTTCACATTCCCTTTTGTAGCCTTGATAATCCAAATTATAAAGAGAGTTGGACTCAATGATCCTTACTGGATCCCTTCCAACTTGAGCTACTGTATGGTAATTCTGGTAGTCGTCTGGAGGTAGTTTGTCACGGAGCGAGCTGGACAGGAGCAGGACATGCCCTGTACAACCAGGATCCCTCCCCACTGCTGGCTGTGCTCCCCCCGAGGACAGGGACACTGGCTCAGCATGAATTCAGCACTTGCAACTGCCTGCGTGCCGTGTGTTCTGTGTAAGAGTCGTGTGTAAATGGATTTTCTCTGAGATACATGTGTGCAAGAGGAGGCGTAGCGATCTCGGGAAGCTTCATGAGCTGCTGTTTTTACTCAGTCGTGTTTGGTAAAGCTGTGGAAATCCCTTAAGAGCACGGGTACATGTTGCCCAGAGAAGCTGTGGATGCCCCATCCCTGGGAGTGTTCCAGGCCAGGTTGGATGAGGCTTTGAGCAACCTGGTGTAATGGAGGGTGTCCCTGCCCATGGCAGGGGGGTTGGAACTGGATGATCTTTGAGGTCCCTTCCAACCCAAACCATTCTATGATTTTATGAGTTTATAGTTATCCGTCCGGTAAACCTTTGGAGATGGGCTGCACGTAAGCAGCGCTCCGTGTCTCTTAAACAGGGAGGGGTGGGCAGTACAGAGCGTGATGAAACATTTCCAGTCATCATCAGTTTCTCCCAAAAGGGCCTTTTTGCTGTGTTTCGGAGGGAAGCAGTGTTTAATTGGTTTCTGTACCCAACGGGACCGTTCAACAGAACGTCTCCTGGGCCTGAAGTACTCTAGTGTTCTGTTCACGTGCGGAGAGGCTTCTGCAGAACATGGGGAGCTGCATGCTGGAGTTGTGCTGCGTGTCTCTTCCCACAGACTACGGTCTCTGTCACGGAAAGGAGTCCACAGATTATTTATTTTTTTTATGGAACATGGGATGCGTTGCATCCCGCAGCAGGCTAGTCTTTGCTTGGCTGAGAACACAATAACCATTTACACTACAACGTGTGACATACTGACATCATCTCTTCCAGGGAAAAACCATGAAAAAGAAGTAAGTTCCGAAAGAGAAGCCGAGTCTGCTGGAAGCAGAGAGGCCAGGCGCTTCGTTTCAGAAGATGATGGAAGCGATCATGCAGTCGATAGTACAAAAACGACAACGCGGCTTTCTGTTAGGCTGACTCCCTTAAATGCTGAAGCACGAAACAAACATAAACACAATAGCAGAATCCCAGGAACAACAAAGGAAAAGAGAGAAACAGAACATGGGGAATCGACCACGTATCAGCAGGCTTACAGGTACTCTCTAAGGCCAGCCAAACAACTTCAAGACAAGCATTTACCAAAAGAATCGTCAGGCAAAGATGAGGAAGAGGAATCCAGTGAAGATATCCCACTGTTTATCAAAAGGAAAAATAAACCTTTATTAAAACAGCAGACTCAAAATTCTAAATTCCCCTCTAACTGTAAAAGCTCACAGGATGATGCAAACAAGATGTCATGTGAACAAAGGACAGTACAAAACTTTACTGCCTCCCATAATGTGCCCTTGAGTGTGTCTGGATCCACTGATGGTTCTGGTTTGCTTGAAGGAAAAACACCTTCTAGTGAGTCCAGTATGTCCCGTCTGCCTGATCAGGCAATGAGGACAAGAAGCAGAATCAACCGTCCAAGGTACGTGCTTGAATCTGACACCGAGCAAGAAACCAACGAAGAGGAATTTCCAGTAAAAGAAAAGAATTCAGAAGTGTCTGATAAAAAAACAAACTGTAAAGTTTCTAATACTGCCAAGTCTTCAGCAGCAAAGTCAAGAGAACCTCAGAGACAAACGGTGCAGAAATCTCTAGAACTTTTTCCAAGGACAACAGATGACTGGTCTGAAAAGGAACTGCAGAAGCTCTACAGGCAAGTGGCTGCCTTGTCTTCGCAGGGCAAAGATTCCCTTGGACATCAGGAGGCGTAACATACTGGAGGGTTTGGATGGTCTGAATTTGGAGTTTTTCAGATTCAGCCTCTTTTGTGTTATTTGCAAGATTTCCTTTGTGTTTTAATTCCCTCTCACAAAATACAATTTGCTAACAAATTCAGAAATAGTGAAATAAAGGAGACAACTGAGTATTTTCTGAAATAGCTGTAGCTGTGGGAGCCTACAGTAGCCCCTACCGCTGCCATCAGATGACAGAGAGGAACACAGTTACTGGGCAAAATTCCGTGAATCTGCTCCTCTACCTGTTTCTCAAACCCACGTACTCAATCTTGTTAGAAGTGATAAACATTCCTGTGAGTAAAACTGAGAAACTCGAGTAGGTGAATACAATGGGAGAAGTTTCCATATTTGTGATTTCGAGGTGGCATATTCTCTCCTCTAATGGAATAACATGTTTAATTTAACATAACATGCTTAGCTAGTTTTGTAAAGGAGAGATTAATTGCAAGAATGTTTAATTAATGTATGGCCCAATTACTTAAGCTACTGGGCAGTATTTAACACATACATGAAGTCATGAAATGACCATGTTTCTTCTCGATTAGAAACCTGAAAGGCTCATGTCTCGGGGGGTGGGGAGGACCTGCTGCAGATGAGGAAGAAATTTATCTTGTAACTGAGCTATTAGCTTAAATTGTTCAAATAAATCTTTGCGTGCTTCAAAGTGTGCGACACGACACCAGAGACAAGATTCCCTACATCCAAAGCCCAGTGTCCTCTCTGGGAAGGGGAACTGGCTCTGGGTGTTTTGCTTGGCATCGTTGGGCAGGTTGTTGGGCGTGACGAGGGCTGTGGCTGTGTTCTCCCGGCAGGGCCATCGCTTCCTTTCCAAAGCACAAGAGCGGCTTCTGGCTGGAGGTGGCCATGGCAGTGGGGTCTCGCTCTGCTGAAGAATGCCACCAGAAGTATCTGGAAGAACAACAGGCAAAGGGTTCCAAAACGCATGGCAAGAAGAGCACTGCTTCAGGAAAACCGGAACGGAAAGGTACCGACGTCTGGGTTCTGAGTGTGTTGTTCTCTTGAAACAGTTTCAAATTCGGTATTTGTCGTGTAGTGGGAGAGACAGACACAAGTGCACATCAGAGTCTGATATGAAGGAGGTCATCTGTGTGCTGGGTTTCTGTGGTGGGTTCTGGTAGCAGGGGTGGGCCTCTGCACAGACAGCCCCTGTAAGGAGACCTGAGAAGCTTCCCTGGCTCCAAAACCAGCTGGACCAGTCTCTGGCCAGGCCGGACCCCGCTCCCCACTGGCCAGGGTTGAGCCATTCAGCACCATTTTGTCCCCATATTTACCAGGGACAAGGAACCCAAACTTCCAGCCTGCCATGAAGGGAGGGGCAGACGGGCTGGCCTCCTCGGCCTCCTCTCCACCCGACTGGAGCTGGCTGCTGTGGCACAGCTTGGAGAGCTCGGAAGCGCTTTATTTGCACTTGAATGTGTCTTTGAAACGTCTGTTGCAGAATTTGTGTGAGAATCTGCCGGGCATCAGTTTTGTAATGAATTTGGTAGTGGGGGTATTCTCATTGGAGCATAGCTAGAAACCATCTTGTTTTGACTGGCTTCGTGGTATCAGAATTCCCTGCACTCCTGTGATTCTGAAAGCTTTTCTGATGCTGCTGTTCGTTTCTCCACCACTGATCTCCAGAGAATTTTTTCCTGTTTCCCTCTGGTATCTGACATCGTCAGACTACGGCTTAATAGAATCACAGAACCACAGAATAGTTTGGGTTGGGAGGGACCTCATAGGTCATCCAGTTCCAA